TGTATACCAAGTGATTTTACGAAGCGTGACGTTAGCCACACTTCTCTATATGTCTCATGTCGGCTACTAGGTAGCTTACCGCGCACAGGAGTTACAGTTGCAAATCCGAACCGGTATATTTATTTCTACAATTGTGCGAGTCTTCCAGTGAATCCATATATGAAGGCACAAACACTGCTAAATGATACGCGTAGAAGCAGCCTATCAAGAACAGTCGTGTGACAGGGGCTCCACATGGATTTCAGATGCTTAAGCAGTCGCAAATCTTGAGAAATAAACCATTATAAAAGGACATTCGTCTGGAGAACGCAACACAAGTGCCTGTCTACACGAGCGATAATTGAGTAGACCTGAATGCTAAGAAACCATAAGAGGCCTGGAAAGAAAGAAACGAAATTGCTTGACATCTCAGTACAAAATTAGAAGCGAAAGTAGTTCAGATGATTTTTACTAACCTCCTTTCACAAGATCGGATTTGAAGAGTCTCGATGGCACAAGAATCAATATGTCTCTTGGTTGTATGACAAAAGCACAGTCTGAGAAGTTTAAAGTTTTATAGAAAGTAACTCAGTCCGATAAGCATTAGCTAAGACAAAACTAGTTTGACAACCACGAAGGCTATTGTATTCCAAAGTCAGCACACTCTCGAACAAGGTAAACGTTGAAACAATGCTCGAAAACACACAAAATAGTATTAAATGTCAATGTATCAGAGTGACTGATCATGCGTTTTGCTACGCAATCAGAACCATAAATACTACAACATCTTGATAGGCATGCTGGTAGACCACGGTAACACAGAGATGCGTGATACACGCCCACCTGCACAAGAGTCACATAACCGGGTTGGTTGCAAACGCAACTGATGTCACCGGATGGATCAGCACGAATCGAGCAGTGGCGTTGCAACAGATTCTCCTGAAAGTCGATCATCCGCCTTGCCGACCAAACACACTGGTAGTGCTCAAGACCAGCCCACTGCGCACGCAGAAACTGGACACCGTAGGTAGCGTCCTATGGGTAAGAGGGAAAAAAGCGGCCCGTTAGGAAACAGTACTGCATGGAGCAGAGCAGCAAGTGATGCTAGGTCAAGTAGGCACGAGCTACCAACCGAACTTTTAAAGCAGCGCCTCATTGTCCGAGAATGTCTAGATTTGACAACTGCCGTGTGTGTGTAGGATGAGGAAATGCGAACTGCACACTAGGGCCAAAACGTTCACTTTCTGGATGGAGGAGACATACCAACGGACACCTTAGGCGAAAAATTTAACACCAATTCCAAGTTTTGCGATCCTTGTAGCAAATCGGTTTTCTGAATGGACACCTAATACTAACCAAGCAAAATGCATTTGTACTTGTGTCATCGCTCATTAACATCAATTCAGTGTTTGCTGAGCTGTCGAAGCACTGTATACAAAGATTAACAAATTCCGTCCATTGTCTCTTTTTCAGTTATGTCTGACCAGACGTACAATCGAAAGTATGTGGACTCGCATACTGCTGTGCGCATCTCTACGCGACCAAGTAAACTGAGTGCATAAGCCTAGTTGCATTTTAATGGTTGAATTCCCGAAAATTATGAACTTGGCTGAATATTTTGGGTTGTAACAATGCAAAAATTCGGATTGACTAAGCATGTTAACGTTGTAAAATCTAGGACACTACTCCAGTATCATATATTACAAGTTTTAGCAATTAAACATCGTTTACTATTCCCAATCTCAAATAATGCTAACATATTTTTGTTCCACCCTATAGATCTACCATTCGAATGACGGGCGATGCACGGCACAGGAACGAATTAATGTACAGTGGTTACGCGTATTTTGTGATTCGTCCGAATGAGAATACAACCTTAAATTGACTCCTACTTTAACAACCCACGAAACTGCTCTGATTAAACTGCTTCTAATCCGGCTTGTGAATTGTGTTCCACATTGACCAATGGCCCAAGAGTGAAATGATCCCGTTTGACTAGCTCCTCCCCTCCACCAGATTGACTGACATAATTCTTTTCACTAGGTTTGTACTTGATAGTACGGCTCGGGTTGAGACCTCAAGGATTCTAGTTGCTCAAACGCTAAACTCTCTTGCACTTCATCATAAGTCTGCTACTCGGTAAGACTCTAAAACGGTTACTAATTTGTAGGTTGACGACCTGCATTGCATTGAACGGAGAGCAAATGTCCATAGCAAACTTAGTTATGGTTTTGATGCTAACCAATTTTGCAAGCATTATGAACAATAAACAATGATTTATGCCGGATAAAAAAGCAGTTGCTTGACAAGTCCCGCAAGATGGAGGGGGGTAAAACTACAATTAATAAACGATAGGTAACTAGTCTGTTTGAGAGTTATGCTAGCAGATAAGCAGCTGAATAATAGTAGTGTCAGTGGAAGTTGAAGCCGAATGATGCGGCAACATGGGGACAGTTATAGTTGATGTACTCCGTGAGAAAAATAACTACGAAAATACTCACTTCTCTACTGCTTCTCCGGTTTATGTGATATATTAATCCGGTTTGAAGGGATAATTAATATATTCCAAAGTAGCACAGTTTAGGCAACGAAATGATTGTGGTCAAGGGTAAGATCCAATCGTGTTTTAAAAATTTCCAAGGTTGAGCAGGAAACAACTAATTTAGGGACAGAGTTCCAGATTTTGTAAACCCAAAGAGAAAAATAATTCCTTCGGGATTCCAGGCGGCACTAATGAGCACAAAATTTCAGAGGGTAACCTCTGAGATTGGTATTATGTCTGGGTTTCAGTAAGTGACTGCAAGCGTAATTAGGGTCACTCAATATTTGGTAGACTAATACGAGATCGCCGTGCAGCCTACAGTAGCGGCCAATGAAATCTCCTAGTGACTTCAACCGCTGATGGTAGGACAGATTTCGTAGGCCTTTACGTTCTTTGTGACCCTGCGTTGTGATTTTGCTAGAACTTCTAGGTCGCACTTTAAACAAGTCTGCCAAGCTTGGATGGCGTATTCAAGGCGGGATCGAGCCATATAATTATGCATCATAGGAAAGATGGATGGGTCGAAAATTCCGAATGCTCTCCGCAGAAAGTCCATGTGGGGGTAAGCTCTGTTCACCGCTGCCTCTGAAGGCAATGAACAGTTAAGTTCATTTTGAATGACCATACCAAGATCCCTTTTTTCCATGGTTCAATGGTGTATGATGGGATAAAAAGCATAACTTTACAAGACCCACAGGATAGATATGCAAAAGAAAATTAAAATCAAAATGTTCCAACGTAGAACGTAAAGTAGCAGCGGTTAAATCATTGCACTTTAACAAAGTGTTGTGTATCGTTTATCACTAAGATGAAAATCTAAGTCTTTCTAATGTCGTCATATCTGGCGCGTTCACCATATAGTTTGGTAATGCATTCCAGTGAGAACAGATTCTAACTGAGAAAAAATACTTTCTACAATTCAAACGAGAGTGTTGCGTCATTAGTTTCTGGTGGTTGCCTCGGTTTTGTTTGTAAGGGGCTAGAGTCAACAGTGATGTACATGGATGCTCGCTTTCGGTTAGTAACCGGTATGTGAGAGGAAGACCTCCGCGAAGCCGTCGGCATTCTAATGAGAACACACCGAGTAAACGAAGACGCATTTTGTAACTTATACCGCATAGTCCACGCGTTGCCTTTGTGGCTCTTCTTTGGAGCTGTTCCAAGAGGCGGATGTCTCGTTTTAACCATGGACACCAGGCCTGAATTGCGTATTCAACATGAGGACGAATGTAGGAGTTAATCAACAATGGTACTAGCTGTCGCTCAAAAGTGCCGAGAGCTCGCCGCAAAAGTCTCAAGTTCAAGTTCGCCACACTTACTGCTTTCGAACATTGGAGCGAATTTCCAAGACTCTCTTGTACGATTATACCTAAGTCGCTTTCACTAGTCACGTGTTGCATGACGTGTTGCCCCAAAAGGTGTGTGTTGACGAAGTTGTTGTGCACCGTCAGCAGGTGGCACTTTGCAGGGTTCAGTGGGAGCTGGTTCTTTTCTGCCCATTCGTTAATCTGGCTCAGAACTTCCTGGAGGTAGACACGGTCGGATGCTGAGCGAATTTCTCTCCATATTTTAGCATCGTCTGCAAATATTTGCATCGGAGATAGAATGTCTGCTGGAAGGTCATTAATGTAGACTAAAAACAGTAGCGGGCCGAGGACGGATCCTTGTGGTATACCACTGGAGACGTAAAGGCTTTCAGAATAGGTGTCGGCTACTCTTACCTTGATTGCTCTGTCGTGTAAGTAGTTTTCCAACCAGGTGAGCAGGGAACCGTTGATACGGTAGGCAGCAAGCTTTTGGAGGAGAAAGAAGTGATTGACCCTATCGAATGCTTTAGAAAAATCCAGGTATATCACATCAATGGGCATTCCCTCATCAGCCGCCCTGGTCCATAAGTCCCGAGTAATTAGCAAATTGGTGAAACTAGATCGTGCGCATCTGAAACCATGTTAGGAATTAGAAATTATTTGTTGAGTTTCAAAGTATCGCGTCAGTTCATCTGCGATTACCGATTCCATCACTTTTGATAAAACAGGAAGGAGAGTAATAGGTCGGTAGTTAGCAGGATCCGAGCGCTTACCTCCTTTATATATTGGAGTGATAATTCCATTTTTCCACTCAGACGGGAGTGTATGGGAGTTAAGCAGACCCTGGAAAAAGGTTGCAAGTGGTGATGCTATGGTGGGAGCAAGGGTTTTTAGTACTTTTGGGCAGATCATGTGAATTCCAGGGGCACGGTACTCCCGGAGAGACTGTAGTTTGCTTGCAACAGCTGCTGGAGTAAAGATGACGCTGGATAAGCCAACGACATATGTTAAGAGTGGATAGGGCAAAGGTTCCATGACATTTGTAGCTACCGAGTCAAACTGCAAGAGTAGAGCGTTCGCGGCATCCACAGTAGTAGTTCTTAGGCCACTGGCCGTCCTGAGTGGTGGTATTCCGGGCTCAACCTTTCTTTTGCCATTCACAAATCTGCATAGCAGTTTGGTATTGCTCGTAAATTTCAGCACCATATTCTCCTGCCATTCGTACTTATCGACTCTTATGAGTGACGTGCAGTATTTTCTGATGACATGGTAATCCTGCCATGTGATATCACATGGGCTTAGCAAATGTTGCCTCCAGATTTCATCTCTTCTTTTGATCCATTTACGTGTTCTGCTCCGGATCCACGTATTGGTCCGGCGCGATGCTCGCAATGGTACAATCTTCGATGCTGATTGTATGACCCAGTTAATTTTAACTTTCAATTCATTCCACGCGTCATTCGCTGAGCTGTGCGTCTGTAGCTCCCAGTCAACGGTTGCTGCTAAGCTGCGCAGCTTATAATAGTCCGTAATATTTCGTTGAGTCTCTATTTCTTTAGCAACAATACTGGCATAACATACATAACCGAATGTTAGGACTGAATGGTCACTAAGGCCCAGTGGAGGATCGTATGGTACTGACTCAACCATCAACTCTTCATTAGTCAGGATTAAGTCCAGGAGTGATGGCTTGTTTGAACCGCGATGTCTGGTTGGTCGATGCACATGGTTATACAAAACTGCCATATCCATGAATTCGAGGAGTTTCGATTTAAATGATGGCCCATTAGGGGACATTGATGTTACTGAAGGACCATTAAGTCACCCATTATAAGATAGTGAGAGTACTTTTGTGAAACGGCATAGCGGAGGGCGTTTAACAGAATGTTATTGCTGTCTGCTGATGAGTTCGGAGGTCTATAAATAACTGATAAGCGGCAAGCATCACTCTTCTTCTGTGAACCAACATCTTGACCTGCTGGGTGCATTCGACAAAATAGTACGTCGGGAATAACAAAGGAGTTTTCGGTAAGTGCTTCACATTTCAAATAATCTCGATAGTAGAGAGCAACACCACCACCGCGAAATGGACGATCATTTCGAATGACTGACATCTCACTGAGTTCAATCTCTGGATCAAGTATGTCGTTTGAGAGCCAAGTTTCAGTGACTGCTATGAGGTCCCA